TTAATCTTTAATACGGCTGTCAAACAAAACAACTGCTGTGTAATACCCTCCACTATCTTAGTTTAATTGGTCACATGACTGCATCACATGACTGCATCACATGACAAACATGCGTCATCGTTTTAGAAAGTCTCCGTTTTCACTGTCCACACTGCGACAGGAAAGCACTGTCTTCAGATGTATTCGTTTTCTGAGCGTTTTCAAAACGCTGCGTTTTCCTTGGGGAAACGCAGCCTCAGTGAGGACGGGAGGCCAAACGGAGAGAAAACGATGCGTTTTCAAACAGCCTAAAGCTGCACTGATCAACACTAACACCTTCATAACAAAGTGTTAGAGCCCACACGGAGTGATTTATGAAAATTCGACAAAGCTAACCCTGTGCGCTCTCTGGTGTCCAGCAGGGGGCGACTCCTCTGAGTCTGATTGTACAGAAGTGAGAGCAGCTGGGATTCTAGAGACCGCATTACAGCGTGTGTGCGTAGGCTGAAAACCCTGCGTGGAGGCAAACAGACACAACCGTATCTATAAATTGGTATTTAATGCTAAATAACAGCCTTCAGCTCTGTTACTACAGTCATTAAAAATGTTCAGGTGAAGATGGCCGCTACAGCTGCCTGTGTCACCATCCACCTGTCAGTCAATCAGGACACGCCCCCAATAATGCAAACTTCACGTCTTTATACAGTAAACATGTTTATTACTGCTGTAGTGTGAGCGTTTGGGGATTGACCCCTGCTGGACGTCAGAGGAACTGCAGGTTTGATGGTGGGTCAGGTACTGATTTTGTCTCCAGGATTTCCAGGAGCTGCTAATTGTGATCGCCTTGTTTTGTTCCCACATCAGCTACGCTGCAGTGTACGTGTGCATGCGCAGGTCTCCTCTTTGCTTTTGTCCCAACAGTTTACAACCAAATTTGACGTTACACAACCTGCAAAGCCTCAACCTGGATGCTGAGAGGTCACAGATTGCATCAACCTCTCAGTCAGGCATGGATTAGAAAGCCGGGCCCAAACAGATCAGTTAGATTGGCCTGCTTAATAACATCAGTGATGATGAGTCTTACAAGGTACCAGCAGGTCAGCGCTCCATTCAGGCCAGCTTTGGTTATGTAAAGCAGAATTTCAGCCGTGCAGCAGGATTATATGAGCGTGCTGTTGTTTACAGAGAACTATTAAAACTGAGCCACAAACAAGGCCTGCAGTGGAGGCGAGCTCCGGGCCTCAGAGGGAGGATGCACAGACTGAACAAATGGCTGATCCATTTCAAGAGTGCAGTGTAAGAAAGCTGAGACAAAGACAGAAGAGGAAGAGAAATATGTGATGGAGCAGAGACGGAGAACTTTGATGGAAGGAAGCAGGAAGTAGATGAGACCCTAAACCTGCCCGAGTCCAGAAACGAGTCTGAACCCGAGCAGCAGGGCTGTCGAGCATCAGGCCGTGTTTAGCTACTGTTATGTGCATGTTTCACATTATTACTGTTTGCAGCAGCAGCATATATTCAGAGCTGCACTGAGCTGGAATCGAAGCTTGAGCCCGAGGCAGGACGATTATTGGCTCGGGCCTCGCATGCACTATAAATACTGCCATTCAGCTCACACGGCGGCACATTCGTGCACTCCACGGGCGACGAACACACACATCTGTATGCAAAACACGACTCGCCCAATCACGTCTTCACTCTGATTAAACTCATTATCCTGCAGACGAATCAAAGCATAGAGTCCAGCGTGAAATGGAAAGACAGCGCGCGAGTATCGATCCACAGCGATGACATAATGCTCCGCAGTCCAATAATAAAGCAGCATGTGGGACGGCACAGCGGTGAAATCATTCCGGCGTTTCAGTCATGCTTTGTGATTGTCTCACATCCCACCACACGAACATGACGAGTCTTCACTTTCACAGGAAGTTACAGTAAATCTGTTTTTATGTGTTTCTCCCTTTTTATTACCAACTCCTGATGAAAAATGATGGATGATTTTTCTTGGTTACTTTTCTTCCGTTTTTGTTGTTGTCCCGTCTCTTGGCTGCCTGAATTCTCGTCTTCTTGACTCACGGCTTTGGTGGAAATTTAATTCAACTTTAAACAAAATGTCAACAAACACCTGCGTGTGTTTTAATTCACTATAACCTGAAGTCATGAAGAGAAAGACGTACAATTCAATAACATCTCAACTATGTTTATTATTTATTTTCACAGTGACCCAGAGGTTTTCATCATAACAGCGTCATATTGAAATAATCTTCTTTTATATTAGGAAAAGCTGTCTGCAGATTAAGGTGTAGTTTAACTACATGTACATGAAAACACCGTCAGCTGTGAGCCCCCCGCTCTCCTCACAGACGAAACTGAGGAAATGATTTGATTGGCTAAAAGATGTCATGTGGGATGAGTTAGAACGCACGTCACTGGTGTGTGACCATTGTAGAAACAACAGAAACACGTGTACGAGCGAACTTGAGAAAAAAAAAATCTAGAAAAACAATCTAGTTATAGCTCCGAGTCCATATAGAGCCGTGTCCAGACCCAGATCTGGACCAAGGTCCACCTATTGGGGACCCTGACCTGACTGGTGGTTACTTTAGACCTGGAGAGGGGAAGTCCAGGCCTCGAGGGCCGGTGTCCTGCAGCTAGGCTGTCGTTATCGCATGACCAAAAGAAAGACGACTGCAGTGATGCCAAACGTGACTCTGGTGTTCAGCAGCCACCATCCTTTTAGTCATGCAGAAGAGTTCATTTAAATCACTTTAATATTCCAAACTGATAATGTAGCCTAGCTAAGCCAGCTGGTCAACGTCGTCGCTATCAGAGTGAAACTAAGTACTTCATATAAACTTTTTGTTGCTGTCAGACAGCAGTGAGCGAATAAAAACTGCTGGTTTGACGTATGGAGTCGCCGCTGTTGTTTAACTCGTGCAGAGCCGCCTTCTGTCCGTCTGTTCTCCATCTGATCGATTGTTTTGATCCTCTGATGTTCCCTTTCAGGCTGCCGTGCGGCTAGTCGTTACTCCTGCTGCACGAGTAACATGCGTGAAACAAATATCCTATTTCTTATGTGTCTTTATTTATGAGTTCTTTTTAAGAAAATATGCCAGTGCAGCTTAAAACATCGACGAACGCCCTCTGATGGAGAAACTGTGCGTCGTCAGTGCTAACATGAAGGGTGTCTCTTCACTTTCTTGCTGTTTAAATGTTGACACTAGCTCAACGACGAGCCCGCCGGGCTCTTGTTAGTAACCCTGAAATGATGTTTGCTCGCAGACATACATTTACACGTTGAATTGCTTTATAACAGCTATAAATGTATATAAATATAAGTGTCACATGACTGCAGTAATGATGGAGGAATCGGGGATGGATGGCGAATCCGCTCCTACATCTTCATCTCTGCGGTCGGGTTCTGTCTCTGCTTCACCGCCTCTCCATCACACCCTTCCCCCACCTCTGAAGTCTCCTGAGGTGGAGGCGTCAGCTCCGGGGAGCCGCCGCTCGACCCGGGAGGGCTCCATGATGTCGTCTGGGTCACGTGACTGTCGAAACAGAGAAAAAGCAGCTTGTTCAGCGTTATCGATCGCCTGAAACTGAATCCTCCTACAGGAGCTGTTTTGTGAAGTGAAAACTACGAAGTGTCTTCTGGCAGCAAAATGAGATTTAAAGTTTGACTAATGTGAACTTCCTGTTTCACAGCGAGCTCTGCAGGTACGCCGTAACTCCTCTGAAACCTTACAGTGACTCAAACTCAAAAAAACATCTACAGTGAAGTATTTGTAGGTAAATACAGTCACATTGTTATTTCCATTTACTTCCAGGATCCGTATTATTAACTGAAACTGATCAGCGTCAGTATCATCTTTGTGCTCTGATGTTCAGATCATTACAGACTGTACTCTGTAATTATCCCATAAATCCAGAGTTGGACGGCTGAATTTTCAGGGAATCTTTATCCAGCGCCTCGTTCTGTTAATCCCATCTGAAAGAGGCTTACAGCAGATCCATCGTTATCATCCAGCGTTATAGCCCTGGATATAGTTTTGGACATAATGTGATATTTGAATATTTGAACTTGTAATTACGAGCCCAACAACACAATCCCTGTATGAGGTTATTCAGCCCATGAAGGTGTGAAAACACTCTTACTTGATGTAGTATTTCACTCCGTCTGCAGTGTAAGCTTCCTCCCAGCCGTAGGGAAGGCCTGCAGGGGAAAATGAAATCTTATTTAGAGCTCGTCATGTTTAATGTTTGTTCTTTCTGGACGTGGGTGAGATCGTGTGTAGTTCCACTTTATCCCGACGTAACGAGGCCAGCAGCTCACAAACACACAAATATCAAGTTTCTATTCAGCCTGAGAAGCTCCACTGCTCCATAAAACCGTCACCCCGAGACTCCACACTGATCTCTGCTCTCACCATATGGACAAGGAGACAATAAGTCGCTTCACCTTGTTTCAGAGAACAAAACAGGTTTCAAATGCTGCCCAGAGGACATCAGAGCAGAAACTGACACCAAACGTCTCGTTCAGAGTGGAGGGTCTGTGGTGATTCACGTATTACTGATGTGTTTGGCTGGCTTACCGACATTCCCCTGTCCTCCTTCTGTCCATATCCGGCTATCCGTCCTCAACACGTGTCTCACTTTTTCACTATTTGCTACATTTGCAATATTCTGTTCAGCCAGCTGGAGGATAAAGTGACTGTAATCGTACCTTTGCAGATATATTATTACTCCATCTATCTTTTCATCCTCACTAATGTGCACAAGCGCTGGTTATTGATTCAGCAGTGACCTCTCAATAAATAAATAAATGATGACAATGTAGAAATGCCAAAAGCTGCAGTTCCTCTAATGTCCACTGGAGGCTCCAAACATGAGTCAGTCCTCAGAGACAGATGTAACACTCGTGATGTCCCGGAGTCTGTTCTGAGTTGAACATTTCCACAATCGTCGTCACCTTGGTTCCTAAAACCCGGACGTGACCACGAAGATGTTTCTCACTGTTTAATTACTTACCAATTAGAACTTTTCACAGCTTCACTGCAGCTGATTGGTGTTTAAGTTCATCTCTTCCATTCAAGCTGTGACTGGAGCAGCATGCTAGCAATCAGTGCAATCACATGGAAGTTGTTGCCAATCAGTTGGGGAATACTGGGGAATATCAGTGGTTGCCAGGAGCTCCCTGATCAATCTGTAGACCTGTGAGACTTGAGCAATAATTTTCCCACCAACTGCCATCAACCTCCAGCAACCACTCGCAATCAGCCAGGAAATACAGATTTTTCACCCACGACCGGAGGTCACCAGACGGTTGCAGACCGGTCTCTAGACCTGTGTGACTGAGGCTTCACTCACTCGATCTTACAGGATTGTCACACATCCAGAACGGCAGATATGTTAACATCACGTAATCCTCAAGAGGACCAGAAATCTTTTTGCAACCATAGCTAGCGTCATCTGGTGGCCTTCAGATGGAAGACAGTTTTCCTCCTTTCAGAACAATGTTCCTGTACACACTGCAGCTAGCAGGCAGTGCTTGCCCCTGTCCACATCACCATGTGCAAACAGGCTACAGTTCTCTAAAAAGGCCCAAACTCTAACCTTAACCACCATCGATTAGCCCCGTGTGTGCGACGTCTGTACAAACGAGTGTGGTGTCTCGTATGTATGACGCCGTCAGGTATGAACGAGCACTCTTACGACTACACAGGAACGCGCTGAAAGACGACATTTGCAGGATAATCCTCCCAACCCCAGAGGACGAGCTTGAAAATGCTGATGGTGAAACACTTGTCTTACAGCCTGCAGTCACCACAAACGTCGGGCAGCAGCATCCCATAATAAACAGAATGTCCGTGTTATTGTTTCATATAAAACAAACGCACATTTTCCCTCGTCGGTCTCACAGACACGAATTAGAGGACACAGGTGTCGTTACTGGATGTAATAAAACGTTCCCACAGAGCTGTGTCAGCCTGTTTCTGCCTCTGTGCTTCCTCTGCAGGCCATCACATAATCACAATAACCTGCATGCGTGTGCACGGAGACGGCTCAGCGCCGGAACAGACACCTGACCTGCGGTTTCACCCCGGCGGCCTGAGCGCTGCAGGGAGGCCCGTGAGACGGGAGGCAGGAAGGGCAACATCGACGAGGGACTGAGTAGCTCCTGGAAACAAACGCTCTGCAGTCGCAGTTCCATGTTTTTATGCTCGACCTCCACACGACCTCAGTAAAAACACGCAGACAGGACAGGAAGTGAGAGCGCATGACTGCTGCAGGAGGAGATAATCATATTTTTATCATGCAGCCGAGTGTGTGTGTGTGCAGCTGACTCAGAGCGTGCGCATCTATGTGGGTTGCGGTGGGAACTCGGTACAATCATGAAATTCGTCAAAGCTAAAGCCCTACGTTTAAGAATAAAAACTAAAACGATTTTTAAAAACGGAGCACGCTCCTGACTCGTCCACTGAAAACACAGAATTCCCGTCTAAAGCATTTTGGGATGGACGGAGGATCCGCTCCCACATCTTTGTGTCTGCAGTTGGGTTCTGTCTCTGCTCTGCTGCTGCTCCATCACGCCCTTCCTCTGCCAATTTGAAGCATCGAGGGTTCCTGGAGCTGGCTCGAGAACCCGGTTTGGAAAGTCTGACGGGATCAAAGTCCCGCTGAACTCTGAGACAAAGTCAAGGTGGAAAGTCTGACCACAAGAAGGATTAGACAGACGTGTGTGGAAGCTGTTTTAGCCTTATGTTTCTTGAACTTTGGGTGACTTGAAGATTGAGGATAAAATGGTTAAAAGACATCAAACAGTTAAAACTTTGGTGTCTGTTAAGGCCCGAAAAGAGAATATACACCACAGGAAGACCTGCAGGAACCCTGCAAGTGAAAATGATCATTCATTACACACTCCGTGGGAACAGTTCCCTTTCACTGAGCCATGCTGCTGGTGAGGTTATTCATTTTTAACGTCCACAGCAAAGTTCAGCAGGGTCATTCAGACTACGCTGGGTCCATGTGGCGGTGGATACCATCGCCACGGTTAACCATCCAGTCTTTAATGATGACGAGGTTTAAAGCTACAGCGCATTGCCTTCTGAGTGCACGATGGATCTCTAACGCTACACTTCTGAAGCTTTGGACAGATCCATTTCAAACACGCCAACAACTTCTGCAGCTGACCAATCACACGAGCTGAAGATGAAGTAAGGAATGACCAGCTTCCCTGCAAATCTCTCCTGCTCCAGTTCAGGAGTAACGTATATAAAAAGCTTCCTGTGTACCTTCGTGGCGTATTAGGTTCAGAGAACCCCGATCTGGGATTCATTGAATATCCCGTGTCCTCCTGATCCCACCTGTGTGAGCGCCTGTGAGGATGACGTCACACAGACAGGAAGCTGAGGCGGTGCAGGCCGAGACTTGTTCAGACACACAGAGTAACTTCACACAGATGCATTTTGGGAAGCGAGCTGAATGAACACGAGAGTAAGCCATAGGAGGCGTTGTTGTCATGGTAACAGGGTCTGAGTCGTCACAAACGAGGAATGAATGAAGCCGACGAGCCTGCTGATTGTTTCTCAGGCAGGGAGCGTGTGTGTGTGTGTGCCAGGTTTACACAGCTTTGTGAGGACGCCGCTACACTTATAGGGACCAAATGCAGGCATGTTTGAGACTCACAGTGTGGTTTTAGTGGCAGGGTTGCAGTTGGGTTATGGTGAGGGTTAGGGCGAGGGTTAGCGT